GCACACAGGTGAGCTGACACTGCACACAGGTGAGCTGGCACAGCAGGCAGGTGAGCTGGCACTGCACACAGCTGAGCTGGCACAGCAGGCAGGTGAGCTGGCCCCGCACACAGGTGAGCTGGCACACACAGGTGAACTATCAGTGCACACAGCTGAGCCGGCCCCGCACACAGGTGAGCTGGCACACACAGCTGAGCCCTCAGGTGCTGAGCCCTCAGGTGCTGAGCGCTCAGGTGCTGAGCCCTCAGGTGCTGAGCCCTCAGGTGCTGAGCCCTCAGGTGCTGAGCCCCGTGTCCCCTCGCAGGCTCTCCCCGGTGCCGTTCCCCGCCGAGCCCGGCGCTCCCGTGCGCACGGCCAAGGCCGAGCGGCGCCACCAGGAGCGGCTGCGCGTGCAGAGCCCCGAGCTGCTCGGCGCCCACGACAAGGACAGGGACAAGGAGCTGTCCCCAGCAGAACGGCGAGCCCTGGAGGCAGAGAAGCGAGCCATGTGGAGGGCAGCACGGTGAGCCAGAGCCCAGCTCCTCTGGGCCAGGCAAGGGACATCCTGGGTGGGGTTAAAGGGGGTAAAACCAGGGAACTGGGGAGTAAAAACACACCGGGAATAGGGGAGGAAAACAAGGGAATAGGGGATTAAAAAAACCCAGGGAATTGGGGCAGGAAAACCAGGGAATTGGGGAGTAAAACCAGGAAATTGGGGGAGTAAAACCAGGGAACTGGGGGAGTAAAACCAGAGAACTGGGGACCCTTTCAGAGAGCAGGGGAGCTCCTGCATGTGTGGGGTATAAAGGAAATAAAACCAGAGAACTGGGGACCCTTTCAAAGGCAGATGTTGAGGGAGGTTGTGTAGGATCTGTTCAAACACTGATGCTGTGGCTGAGCCTGTCAGCACAGGGGAGGTGGGAGGGATCCCAGGCTCCCCCAGTGCCTGCTCAGCCATGGACACGATGAGAGCCCACAGTGAGCACGAGCACAGCCGTGTGCTGTGCTGAGTGTGTTCCTTCCCTCAGCACACCATCCCCACCTTATCCCCAACCCTTGTGAAATGTGTCACTGAAGCTGCAAGGTCACATGTCCAAAATGAAAAATGAAATTTCATATTTCCAGTGTTGCTGGGCTGGAAATCGTGCTGCAGCCGAGACATTGGCAGGATCAGGCCATTCCCATTCTTACCCGTATGAGCTGTTCTGTCAGCTATGAAAGAGTGACTAAAAATTGTTCTGGAAGAAAGAAAACTTCCTAATTCAGAGCTTTAGACTTTAAGCTAGTCCAGATGTTTACTGCGTCATAGAATTCCTTCCAAAAATTAGTCAGGCTGCTCCTATTGATAGTTTTCTCTCTCGTGATATTCCTGTAGGAGACATTCAAAGGACAGTGTGAACTGTCTCTTCTGGGGTTTAGATGAGGGTTTTAGATAAGACTGAGGGATCACTGTGAGCAATTCCAATGTTTGTGCTTGACATGGATGATCATGGGGCTCTTGCTCCTGGGGAGGCTCTGAGAAAGGAGAACTGGAAAAGCAGATCCTCAGTGAAAGCTGGGCTGATGTTCTGGGGCTTTGAGCAAATTTTCTCTGAGCTGGTTTTCACAGAATCTCAGGATGGCTTGGGTTAGAGGCACCATCAAGACCATCCAGTCTCAGCCCCTGCCATGGGCAGGGAAACCTTCCACTGCCCCAGGCTGCTCCAAGCCCCGTCCAGCCTTGGGCACTGCCAGGGATGGGGCAGACACAGCCTCTCTGTGCCCTGTGCCAGGGCCTGCCCACCCACCCACGGAAGAATTCCTTCCCCAGATCCCCTCTAACCCTGCCCTCTGCAGTGGGAGCCATTCCCCTTGTGCTGTCACTCCAGGTCTTTGTCCAAAGTCTCCCTCCAGCTGTCTTGGAGCCTCTTTAGGGTCTGCCTTGCTCTGCCCTGTCTTTCCTTATGAGGTTGGAGAGAACCCCAAGTGCTGCAGGTGCTTGGAGAGGGCTGGAGTCAAGTCTCTGCCTCAGGAAAAGCTGTCAGTGTGAAACAGTGCCAGAAGCAGCCATCAGTGTGACACTGTGCAAGCACCACAGTGCCAGACATCCTGCACAGACTTACTCTTGGGCTTTGGGCCTCCTGTCAGGCCTCTCCTGGAAATGCACATCCCTGTGCTTGGAGAGGGGTAGTGCCCAATCTGTCATCCTCGATTCCCAATGAAACGTGCAAGGGATTCACTCCCTCATGCCTTCCTTCCCAGGTTCATTCCTCACATGCTGGGGAAGGCTCTCTGAGATCTGTCAGCTCTGATCATGCCTAGGCATCAATGTCCCCAGGGGATGCTGGAACAGAAGCTTTGTTGAAGATGGGTGTCAGAAGGAGACACGGGATGTTGGCCATGCAGACTTTGGGAAGCAGAGTGTGTTCAGGGACACTGCTGCTGTCCCAGCTGTGCAGCTCCACTCTCAGGACTCTGCTCTTCCAGGAACTTGGTGCTGCCAGCAGATAAATCTGGAAAATGCTGGGAGGGGAGAGGATGCTCCTAGGTGATGTGATTTAGCATGATTTGCTCCTGTAATGTTACTGTTTTTCTGCCCATGGTCTTGGGCCAGCTGGGACTTGGCTGGAGTTGCTCAGGGCACACTAAAAGTTTCACATGACGCTTTAGGAGGCTTAGTGAGTGTGGAGCACCATGGGTTTGGCCACTGAGGGCAGAGGAGAAATCTCATCTCAGACTTTGACTCTCTTTTGAGTGTGTTTTGTCCGTGGAAAATGAGCAGCAGAAGAGCCTTCCTGAGGAGGGAGTGCCTGTCAGGGAGAAGCTGCCTGAGCTGTCAGGTCCAGCCCTTCTGGGTCTCACTTTGGCAGCCCAGGGCCTCAGCTCCGCTTTGCTTCCATTGCCAAGGCCCAGCTTTTTGTGCAGCTCCTGGAGAAGGGCCTGGCTGATGCTTTGGGCAGGAATCAGTCACTGCAACGTGCTCCCTTCTGTGAGACATGGAGGGATTGTTCCCTGCAGCCACACACGTCCCAGGAGGATGCAGTGGTCTCGGGGTCCCTGTTCCAGCTCTGCACTGGCCACAGTGATGTGATCAGGTCCTGTCTCCAGAGGCCTCTGTGCTGCAGGGGAAATTCTGCACTGCCCCACACACGGGGCTCAGCCCCACTAACCCATGTTCTCTCCAAGTGCCTTGGGCTTCTTCCTCCCTTTCTAATCTCCTGTCTTCTGCTTCTTTCCAGTTCTCTGCTCTGTGCTGTCACTCCTGACCCCATCAGTTTGCACCTACTTGGGCTTTGCTTGTTCTCCCTGTGTCATCAGTGCTCTGCCGGGATGTGTGCTGCCCCTCGTTCCCCCCAGCACCCCAGTGCTCTGTGAGACACACACACAGACCCATTAGGTGTTCTGGGCGCTCACAGCCCAGGATGGAATAGTTTGGGGTGGAAGGGACCTTAGAGCCCGTCTGGTTCCACCCCCTGCCACAGGCAGGGACACCTCCCACTATTCCAGGATGGCTCCAAGCCCTGTCCAGCCTGGCCTCGGACATTTCCAGGGATTCATGGGCAGCCACAGCTGCTCTGGGCACCCTGGGGCACCCTCGCCACGCTCACAGGAAAGGATTTTTTCTCAGTATTTATCTGACCCTGCCCTCTGGCAGTGGGAAGCCCTCCCCGTGTCCCATGGGCAGAGGGAGGTTCAGAGGCTCTGGTGCACACTGAGGGGCAGGTGCCCAGCCAGGCCCAGGAGCATTTTGGCAGGTTTCCTCCCTCACACACACGGGTTTAGGGACACGCTCACCCCCAGGTACAAATGTCCCAGGATGCAAACTGGGTGTCGTGTGCTTGGCCGCTCTGTTCCGAAGTGCATGGACACATGATCAGTGTCGCCCATGGTCCCACAGCCCCCAGCCCTCCCCTGGGGCTGCAGCTGCTCCTGGTCCCCTCCCAGCACATGGGGGAGGCAGCCCTGGATGTGGAGGCTCTGATGCTCCTGGGCACCGTCCCAGATTGTCCCCAGGGGTTCCTGCTGCCTCAGCAGTGGCCAGGGCTGGGCAGGGTCACGTCTGGGACCCCGTGTAGCCAAGGCTGCCCCTGTGTCAGACCCGTGCTTCCCCTCTCCAGGGTATGTTCCTGTACCTGTTTCTTTCTTTTCCTGTTCTTGTCTGCTGCAATGTTCATCACCATCATCTCTTCCTCCTCCTCCTTCTCCTCCTCCTTCTCCTGCTCCTCCTCCTCAGATCCTCAGCCCTTGAAGACAGTATTAAACAGTATGAGCAGGATCTGGCCAGGAAGCTGTACCAGTCCCGGCAGTGGGCTCCTGCTCCCGGGGCCAGGGCTAGCCCAGTGCAGAGCCACGCCTCAAGAATCCCTGGGTCAGGAGGCCAATCCAGGTGTGCACGCCCCCTCCCCACAGCTGCATGGTCCTGTCTGTGTCCCTGAGCCCCAGCTGGGGCCTCCTGGGGCAGGAGGACGTGGGAGTGGTCCCTGAGAACAAGGGGGGATGCTGGGGCTGCCTGATGGGGAGAAAGGAACAGACCTCTCTGAGGGCTGGAGCCACTTTTCCAGAGCTGTGTCACAGAGTCCCAGAGTGGGGTTGGGAGGTACCCTAAAGGTCACTTGTTCACTGCCATGGGCAGGGACACCTTCCACTAGTCCAGTGTCCGTCCAGCCTGGCCTTTCATGTTCTCCTGCTGGCTGAGGAGGGTTCAGGTGCAACACACAGAGCACAGAGGAGAGCAAAGCCCCCGAGGACTGATCCCGCTCGTGTGATCCTTGCAGTTTTGTCCCCAGCTCGGGTCACTGTCCTGTTGTGTGCCACTCTGGGCCTGCCCACGGCTTCTCAGTGTGTTGATCATAGCTTCAGGCTGCGTGTGTTTGACACATGTGATCACACGTGTGTTTGGGGATGGCAGCCAGCCCAGGTGTGCTCCTGCGTGCCTCGGGGACCCTCGGGGACGGGGCTCAGTTCACCCATCTGTGTTCAGCCCAGGGGGCCTGCACACACAGGTAGCACCAGTCCCCACGCTGACAGGCACTGATGGCTTCTTCTCCCCACCCCGTTCCTGAGGCAGGATGAAATCTCTGGAACAGGATGCTCTGAAAGCCCAGATGGTCATTGCCAAGTCCAAGGAGGGGAAGAAGCGCAGCACCCTGGAGCAGCTGGCAGAGTCCCCCTCACCTGCTCCAACACCATCCCCAACGCCACTGGAAGGTACTGGAGAGCTGCTGGTGCCTCAGGGGAGCAGAGAGAGCTGCTGGAGCTTCACTCACAGGCAGAGCTGTGGGAGGCAATCCCTTCCTTCAGCCTGGCTGGAAGGTCCCTGGGCCATCTCTCAGCACAGGAGCTGGGCCTAAGGTGTAGAACAGGTGATAGCACCTGAGGTAGAGGGGGGTTCCAGGGAACCAGGGAGGAGATACAACCAGCATCCTGATTTTGTGGAAAAGCAGTGAAGAGGTGTTTGTTGGGAGGGCAGAAGGCAGGGTCTGCCTCCAGCCTGGTGTCACCACCCTGAAATGCTGCTGAGGAAGGAGCTGGCTCAGGGGGGAGTGTCACACAGCCAGCCTGTCACTAACTGTGCTCTTCTGTCACCTCTTGCAGATTGCAGCCCCAGGAACGTCACTTCCCCAGGAAGGCTGGTATGACACTCTCCTGCTTGCTTTTTCACCTTTCCTAAATCCTGGCATTCCCTGCTTACTTGGCTGTGCCTGGGAGCCGTGGGTCCCCCCTTAGTCCTTGAGCCAGACCTGGCTGCATGGTTCAGGGAATGGTGAGGGGCTCAGTGGAGGGAACTTGGCCAAATTCCTGCCTAAAGGCACCCCCCCCACCCTTTATTGCAACTCCCATGTGCTTTCTGTTTCCCTATTTTGTCATCCTTACTATGGTTCTTCACCTCCTTGTTCAGAAAGGTTTCCACCATGCTCAGAAAGAGGGCCTTTCCTGAGGTCCAGAAAGCCTTTCCCCAGGCTCAGAGGGCCTTTCCTGAGGTCCAGAAAGCCTTTCCCCAGGCTCAGAGGGCCTTTCCTGAGGTCCAGAAAGCCTTTCCCCAGGCTCAGAGGGCCTTTCCTGAGGTCCAGAAAGCCTTTCCCCAGGCTCAGAGGGCCTTTCCTGAGTTCTGAAAGCCTTTGCCTGGGTCCTGAAGGCCTTTCACTTCACTTCAGGGACTTTGGCCCTACGTTTCCTCAACAGCACAAAGCAGACCTTCAGCTGCAATCAGCATTTTCCTTTTCCTAAGCCTGAGTAAATGCCATGGGACATTGTTGCACAGAACTGTAAGAATTGGTGAGACAGACCAGATGTGGGAGCAGCTGTGTAGAAGGAACCTTGTCCTGCCAGGTCACACCATAATGCAGCTCTGGACTGAAATTCTGACTCTGTTCCAGCTATCAGAAATCTTGCCATGAATTTCCCCCGAAAAACAGGTTTCCTACCTGACTTGGTGTGCATTAGCATTTCCCTGGAGCACATGATGTTTCCTCTGTGACTCCAGACCCGTCCTGGCACCAGAAGAGCCCCAAGGGCAGTGTCCCAGGGATGCCCCGTGTTCCAGGCTCTGTCCAGGCACTCCTGCCTCTCCCTGAGGATGTCTCTCTGCTGCTGCTGTGATCTCTGCTTAGATTGCTCAGCTTGCTGCTGCTTCTCCATCCATTTCTGTCCCCTCACTCTCTCTTTTCTGTTTCTTCCCTTCTGCTGTCCCTTCTAGTCAATGTCTGAAAAGAAGTTTGACTACCGGGAATTTGCTGCTATTCCTTCCTCCAAACCTGTTTACGAAATCCAGGTATAAACTGCATGCTGAGCCACCTCCAGAGAGGTCAGGGCTTGGTTTGGTGGAAGAGCTGAGGCTGAGGGATTTGGGGGAACCCCTCTGCAGAGGCCTTGCCTGTGCAGGGGCAGTGACACCAGTCTTGCTGGGAAGTGAGGGCTTATTGGAGCCTTCAGCCAAGTGCAATTAGGAAAAAGTTTGTCCAGATGGTTTCAAATGAATGACAAAGGTTTTGCAGATATAAAACATCTGCATCTTCACCAGAATGGCTCCTGAAATATTTTAAAGTGAAAGATGAGAACTAAAAGGGAAGAAAAAGAGAAATGATGGCTGGCAAATGCCAAACTGGAGCAGATGTGAACTTCCAGCTAGGATGTGCCTGGTGTCCTGCCCGAGCTGGGGTTCCTGTTCTCAAGTTGTAGTTCTGCTGTCAGTGAGCCGTGGAGTGAACACCTGGTGTTGAGAGTGAATGCCATGGTGAGCTGCTCCTCCTTCCTAAAATGGCCTATTCGATCTGCTTTGTCATGGAATGCCAGCTCTGGAGGTGATCCTGAGCCCTGGCCCCTGCTCTGGGGACCACTGGAACCAGCTGGAACTGCCTGGCTCAGTCAGTCACTGATGCCATTTGTGCCAGCTGAATGGTTTTAGGTGGGTTTTTTGGTTTATATATAGACCATGAAGCAGATAGCTGTGCATGGAGAGCCAGCAAGCACTGCCACATTGGGCTTCACCTCACTGTGGGGACACAAAGATCCCAGCCCAGGGTGTGTCATTCCCAAGACAGGCTGGCTGTGGCAGAGCTGCAGTCCGGGGATTCCCAGGCTGTTTTACTTTATTTGGTGTCTGTTCTTCACTGACGCCTGTCCCTTGTGGAGTTGCTCTGCTCCTGGACGTCATTCATCATTTCCTTGGAGTGCCTTCCTTTGGGATGTGCCCTCTCCACGTCCTGTTCCAGGCAGTTTGGGGGATGGCTGCTGGAGCCCCGTGGCAGCTCCAGACCACCCACATTTCCCCAGGTGCAGCACTGGGTCTTCATACAGCTGAGAAGGTGTCTCCAAAGGAGGCTGCACCTCCAGATCCTCAGGCAGTGTCTGTGGGCCTCTCTCAGCAGTGCAGCAGTTCATAGAATCCTGGGATGGTTTGGGTTTGGAGGGGCCTTGAAGCTCATCCCATTCCACCCCTGCCCTGGCAGGAACACCTCCCCCTGCCCCAGGCTGCTCCAAGTCCTGTCCAGCCTGGCCTGGGACACTGCTGGGATGGAGTGGCCACAGCTGCTCTGTGCCAGGGCCTCAGCACTCATAGGGAAGGCTTTCTCTCTCATATCCAACATAAACCTCCCCTCTTTCAGCTTGAAGCCTTTTTCTTTACTTTTCACACTTTCTGCCTTTTGTGTTACTGCCTCTCCTCCTTCACACAGGCCAGGCTTGACTCAGGCACGAGGGATTCTCTGTGCCCGTGTCCCCACTGTGGCAGTGCCTGTGAATTCTGTGAATTCTGTGAATTCTGTGAATTCTGTGCCTGTGGGGGCAGCAGGTTCTCTGCAGGGTGTGTGGAGGTGGAGGTGGGGGATTACTGGGCACAGGGGTTACAGGTGTTACAGATGTTACAGGTGTGGATGATCACATCTGCTCTTCTCTTCCAGTCCCCTGATGCAGCTGATGACCTCAGATACGTCGATGACAGGAATAGCTCAGGTAAGCCCAAAGGAGTCCTGGCTGTGCTTCTGGCTCCCTGCTGTGGTTCTAGAGGGTTCCCTTTGGCTTCTGGAACCACCCTGGGGACTTCACCTTCTGTTGCTTGAAGCAATGTCGTGTTTTGTCTGTTCTAGAGTGAAAACTCCGCAGTCACCACGTTCATTTTGGGTAGGATATTTGCATTGTGCTTCAACGATGACTAATTTTTCCAGTGTGGTGTGTTACAAGCATGCCTTGTTTTCTCCAGTTTTGTGTTCTGGAGTGCAGGCAGGGAAGGTCTTGGCCTCTGTCACCTGCTGCGGGTGCATGATGTCCCACATCCAGGGGCTGTCCTGTGCCCCTTTTGCTGGAACAGGGAATGGTGCAGTGAATCCATCCTGGGGCAGCCTTGGAGCAGTTGGTGCTCCAGTGCCTGGATGGCTCCGAGTTTCATGGATCTGTGGGCATGGCCATCTCAATCAGCAGGAGTTAAAGGAGTTAAAGGCGTTAACCTGGATCTCCAGGCTGTCACCTGGGCTGTGTCTGCCTGTCCCCAGCTGTGACACACAGCTGACACTCACCCAGTTGGTTCCAGTGGCTGTAGCAGCACCACGGAGCTGGGCAAAGCTCCTGCAGGAGCACTCCTGCCTCTAATGGTGCTGGTTTGCTTCTACCCATTTTGCATGTTTCACCCCTTTATTTGAAAAAAAAACCGACCAGTTCCTTTTACCCTGACAAATTCCTCTGAGTACATCCCAGACAGCCAACCCGTTTCCAGACAGAGGTTCTGCTGTAGGACTCAACAAAAACTTACTTTCCTGAGAGTAGTATCTGTTCTTCATCCCTCAGAGTCATCCTCTAAGCTCCGGGTTACTCTCTTGAGGTTGTTTGTTCAGTCAGTGCAGGGAACTGAGAGGTCAGGGAAGGTCTGGGAAACACCAGCTGCTGCTTAGGGCATTCAGACCTCCCTGTTGCCTGTCAGTGAGTGCTCTGTTGGGCCCTCAAATGGGATGAAAGATAGAAAGAAAAGAGTGTGGTGCTCATTGAGAGACCCAACCCTTGGTCCTTAAGTAATGTTTAATCACCTGTGATGTGTGTGAGGCACAAAAAAAAAGAAGCAGATTTTCCCACATCATCTGGAGAGGATGGCAGGTGAGGATGGGACCAAGCTCTCATGGCTTTTTTAGAGCCTCCCATCCCATCCCATCCCATCCCATCCCATCCCATTCCATCCCATCCCACTCACCCAGGCAGTGCAGCATTCCAGCCAACACAGTCAGAATTGTCCTGGATCATGGAATTATGGCTTTTTGACTTACAGCAATTCTTAAATTCTGTGCCAGCAAACCATTATATCAGGAACTCTGAGAAGATCCAACTGCAGGAAAGTGTTGGCATCTCAGTCCTCCCAGCACACCCTTGTCCTCTTGTCCATGCAGAAACAGTTCCTTCAATTCTCTGGTCTGACTTCATGGTCATCATCTCTTAAATGTATTTTAAAAACCTTTATTCCAAGGTTTCCATGAGGCTGTGGAGTTACTGAACTGCAGAGCAGCATTTTTGGGGTGGAGCAAAGTAGTGTGCCCATGTTATGGAGTAACTTTTCCAGATCACCTGGAGACTTTTGCTTCCCAGTCCTGGACCCCTCAGGTTCCAGAACTTCCCCTGCTGACTGTGTGTTGCTGCTGTTACTGGAAACCTGCTTTTGGGATGTGAGAAGCTGCTTTTGTCGTGGTGCTCTTTGCCCACCTGGGCTGTCTGGTGTTGGCAGCAGCTTCCATAGGAACGGAGCCTCCTCATCCTGCTCCTGGCTGTGAAACGTTGACTGGCTCTGTGCCTGAGCCTGGTCCCTGTGACAAAAAGCCTCTTTATTGTTCTGACTTCACCTTAAATACCTTTCTTCATGTTCCTGGGTAAGCACCTGTGATTGGTTCAGAGTTCAGGCTGCTCAGCTCTCTGACCAATAGCTCCTGCAGCTTGGGCTGGGACTCATTGCATCAAATCCTTGTCTGTCTCCAGTTCTGTGCTATCTCTGTTCTCTGGGGGCCTGTCTACCAGGCCAGGCCGCTTCTCTTATCAGTGGCCAAATTCACTGCCCAGTACAAGCCAGCTCGCACTGTGGCACTGTTGGATAATGAACTTTGCAGCTTACACCAAACATGGTCTCTCTGCCCTCTTGTGGCTTTGATTTATCCCTGTCCAGCCCTCTTAGCCACACCATTACTCCAAAGACCTGCATCCATCTTTCCTTCCCCAGACTTGATTTCACAGGTTCTTTCCCACCAAAATGCCAACATCTCACAAAAGTGGAATCTCTGGATTCATACCAGTGGCAATGGCTGTGCTTTCCTCCAGTATTTTCTGATTTCTCTCAGGATGGGAAACCTAAGTGAGGCCTGTACTGGTTTAGGATACACCAGGATCCTGTTTGGCTGGAAGTTGGTTCTTAGGGCAAGACCATAAGAAACAGGGAAATGAGCTTGTATAGATGAATATTCTCAATTTTCTGGGCTCACCTATTGTGTAGGCATGTCTTGAACCAAGTGTTGTGTCTGCATCAGGAATGGAATGAGCCTCTGTAAAACTGTCCAGATTTTTTAAATCTTCCATGGAGTGTTGTGATATCAAGTTCCACAGTGAGGCATTTTATTTACTTTAATTGTTTCTTGATGAGTCCCTTGTGCCTTCTGGGATGCAGTGAGTGGCTGTGTCTCACTTGCTGTGTCTGTGTCAGTCACATCAGCCAATGGAGCAGCAGTTCTCTTCTTGCCAGGCTGGCAAATCCTGGTTCCTCTTTGTGGGAATAATTCCCACTCTCATCTGGACCTTTTTTATTTCATCAGTGTCTAAGGTAGAGGAGGGGACATTCTGAATTGTGTTCTCCCATCTTTTCCCATACCTAAACCTCTAAGTGAAGTGGCATTGCTGGGAAGTTGTCAGTACATACAGAAATCTCTGCCAGTGCCTACAAAACCATTCCAGGATGGTGCATTTCTTGAATGCAATCAGGATTATATTCCTTTTTTTGAGCTTAAACATCATCCAGTAGTGTAAAAATGAACTTACTGAGTCAGCACAAAGTTCTGGCCGATCTGGGGTGTGATGGGAGCCACTGGGAGTGCCAGAAAAGGACACAAAAGAAGAAATGCACAAAGTAGTTCCTTGCAGAATTGCTCCAGGCTGCAGCCATCAGTGGGTTTGCAGTTTCTAAGACAGAGGCTTTGATTTTAGAGTTCTTTCTTTCTTGAATCTATTCACATCTGCAGTAAATTGCCCCTTCCATGTCATTTTACCCCTCACTGTATGGATCATGATGCACTTTGTTATCATTGAGCTTCATTTGACTCCCTGATACAGCTTGGTGGCATCAGTAGTCTCTCCTGACACAGCCTTCATCACTCCTCCTCAGCTGCAAAATCCTGACCCAGGTACAAGTCCTGGCTGCTGGGTCCTGTGGCAGCACCTTCCTGCCCTTTTCCTGTGCTGTAACCACTTATTTGCCCACCAAGTTTGTTTTCAGTAGATCTCTTGGCAGGGTACAATCCAGATGTTTTTAAAGCTTAGTGTGCTGCGTGGGGATCACTAAACCTGCATGTTTGGGGGCTCCTCTGTCCTAGGAGGGTCTGAAAGGACTGACTTCCCTCTGAGCCATGGGATTTCCTCCCCCACCCACCCAGGCTGGAATTCTATCTCCATTTGTTGCTTTTTTACCTGTGTGCCTTGCCTGAGGATCAGTCACCTGCTTCCAAACCCCAGCGTTCTTCGAAGGGCTTGCACAGGCTGGGAGGGCTGGGGGTGTTCAGCCTGCAGAAGAGAAGGCTCTGGGGAGCCTAAAGGGGCTCCAAGAGAGCTGGAGAGAGACTTTTGGCATGGGCCTGGAGTGACAGGACAAGGGGGAATGGCTTCCCACTGCCAGAGAGCTGCGTGTGGAGCAGGGGGTGGGACACAGGGCAGAGCTCAGCAGACTGAGCCTTTCAGCTGGCAGATCTTCATGGATCTCTCTATTTGAGCTTCTCTGCTGCATCCAAAGGCTTTAGAGAGATTTCCCAGGAGCCCATTTGCACTTGAAGCTCATGGATTGCCTGTGCCTTCCTGGGTTGTCCTTCCAACACATACCGGGGTGGTTGAATTCACCCCGAGGACCAAGGCTTGTGAATGTGAGGCTGCTCCCACGTGTCTGTGGAGATCTCATCCCCTCAGTCTTCCTGGTCAGGAATGTCACCTGTCCCTGCAGTCCTGACCTGTGAGCTCTCTTCAGCTCCTCAGGCCTCTCAGGTGCAGCTCCCTGCATCCAGTTGGGCACTGGCACAGAGGGTGACCCTCACCTCATTGCCCCTGTCCTTCCCTCAGGGTCTGGATCCTCCCATTCCAGGGAGCTGTCCCACTGTGTCTCTGTGGTGCCTGTAAGTTTAAAGCCCTCCTGACCAGCTGGGCCAGTCTGTGACCAAAGATCCTCCTCCCTCTCCCTGACAGAGGGACCCCTCAGCCCCCTGCAGACCCGGCTCAGGGTGGATCCATGGTCTGGAGAGCAGAAGCATTTCAGGACACTTGGTTTTTCATATAGTTTGGCACTTCCAAACATGTTCAATGAATGATGGGTGTTACAGGCAGGTGTCTTCTCACACGTGGCACTTCGTTCCCAGGACCACAGTGGTCACTCCATGAGCTACAGGTCACCAGGAAGTTCTGGGCATGGGTTTACTGGGAGTGACTGAGCCCAGTGCTGTCCCAAATCCAGCACCTGGGAATACCCTGGAACACTCCCTGAAAGTGTTCAAGGCCGCGTTGGACAGGGCTGGGAACAACCTGATGGAGTGGAAGGTGACCCTGTGTGGAATGAGATGAGCTTTGAGGTTCTTTCCTACACAAACCAGTCTGTCATCCTGTGACAGCCTTAACGTGTGCATTAACTGTGGCAGCTGTGTGCTGCCAGAATCACAGAATGGTTTGGCAAGGAAGGGACTTTCCAGATCACCCAGGCCCAGCCCCTGCCCTGAGCAGGGACATCCTTCCCTTAGGGTTGCTGCCAGCCACAGCTCTGTGCTGTGCTAGGGCTCTGTGCTAGGTGAGCTTAGGGCCTCAGCACCTTCACAGGGGAGGATTTCTCCTCAGTATCTTACCCAGCTTAACCCAGTGCTTTGTGTTCAGATGTAAACGTTTTGTCGTTGCAGTTCCCCGGGAGCAGGATGGGCAGCCAGAGGACGAGGACACACTGGGAACACGGGATCCATCAGCAGCAGCTCCCTCAGCCCTGGAGGACATGGCCCTGTACAGCAGCAAGAGGAAGCTCCGGCACAGCCGGCGCAGTCTGGAGACCGCTGTCCCCACATAGGTGACACCTGGGCAATGGACTGGCCTGGCACAGCCCTTCCGAGCCTCCTGTGCTCCAGGGACAGCACCAGGCTGCCCCCCTGCCTGCAGACTGGATGGGACCTGAGCTTCCCGTGAGCTCTGTGGCCAACTGACTCCTCTGAGGCTGTGAACCGCCCTCGTTTCTCACCCAACAGTGCACTGGGGCAATCCCAAAACTGGGACAACACTGGACTGACTGCTGGCAGATGGAGAGGAAGGGTGGCCAGGACAGTGGGCAGCTTGTTAGCCTGTAAATATTGTGTGTGGGGAAGGGTAGGACAGGGAGAATGTAGGCGTGTGAGAGTGTGTTAGGCTCCAGCTGTTACTGCCTCAACTTGGGTTTTGTAGTGGTTAAAAGGAGCTTCTCCTCTGGTGGGAATCAGGAGGAAGGCCCAGCCTGCCTTTACTCCTATTTAATTTCCAGTCTTTTGCCAAAAAGCATCTCCTCCCACCTCCTGCACTGTGTCACCTCACTTCCCTTTGGGAGTGTTTGGGAATGGGAAGCTTGGAGGCAAAAAGAAGGAAAAAAAAAAAGAAAACAATCCCACCAGAATTCCAGCAAAGTGCCTCTCTCTGCCACTGGCACTCTGTGCTCCAGGAAAACAGAGCCAGCTCTGCCACCTGCCTCTGTCCTGGTGGGACACTGCTCCTGCCAGGGCTTTGTGCTGTCCTGGGGACAGGTCCCTCCCTGGATGGCCACGTCCCCCTTTGTCACACACGATGTGAGCCACTCCATGAGCACACAAGTGGAGGAGTCTGACTCCTGTAGCACTGGGGCAGGAATGGGATGGAGCCCACAGCCGTAGCAGGGGTGTAGGGGGTGTGTGAGAGCAGTGGGGAGGAGGAAACTCGGGGTAGGACAGGTGGCAGAGGTGGGAGGTGTGACAGCAGGTACCTTAGTGGGTAGAGTTCAGGAACTGGGGGTGGGTAGAATGTGGCATTGCTGGGGTCAGGTTGGGAGTTACAGGATTTTACACATGGGAGATACTGGTGGGGAGTCCACAGTGTCCTTGGCTGAAGGGTGGAGTGGGATGTCACAGGGTGCCTGGTGTGGGCTGGCAGGGAGCACCAGGAGCACCACAGAGCAGGATGGGGCTGGCCTGTGCCTTGCAATAACTACACAGTTCCACTTTGCCAGCTCATTGGCTTCAGGCCCCTGTCCTGGAGGACAGGGAAAATGCACGTTTGCCCATGCAAGAGGGAAAAAGGAAAATGAGAAATGAGTGGGGGTGTGAGTCCTGGTTTCCACATGTGGAACAAGGGCTGTGAGCAGGTTCTGTATCATGTGAGCTCTGCAGATGTGGAGGTCACAGCTGCTGCTCCCAACTCTGCCATCAGCCTCTGCTGCCACTAGTGAGGGAAAACAACCCTTTTCTTTTTTTTTTTTTCACTGCCTCTAACCGTGAGGAAGGTCCGAGCTCGGCACAGTCCCACTCCCTGTCCATTGGTGCTCTCTGACTCCCCAGTAAAGACCAGGGTTGGACCTTGAGCCTCACAGTGGCTGCGCAGTGACAGGCACATCTGCTTGTACATTTGCTGAAGGAAAGAGCTGGATGCAGTTTTTTGGGTGCAGTTTTTTAGTTGAGCCTCTCCTTTCATGCCAAAATCCAGCAGATCATTTTAACTGACTCTGTATGTTTTGATTTTACAGACTTGTGAAGGGGGAACACTGATAATCTCACACTGCAGCTGCAGCTGCTTCCATCATCAGCAATTTGAGCTTTTCCTTTTTAAATCTAATTTTAGCATTTGCTTTTTAACAACAGCAGTTTTGGAAACAATCCTGGCTGGGTTTTGGTGACTAACTTGTGATTCTTCTCTCCTTTCCCTGTGCGGTACCTGGTGCCAGGCTCTGGATTCTCTCCTTTTCTCTCCCAAGAGACTCCGAGGGAAAATTAGCGCATCAAGACTGTAACTAGTGAAATTTGTACAACCAAAGAAATCTATTTTGTGGTTCAAGGATAATAAAGTTTACTTTACATTTTAGAGCCTTTAGTCACAGTGGTTTGCCCTGTGTGAAGTCTGCAATTCCAGCATCAGCACTTGGGTGATGGTTGTTACTCACCACAACATCCAGCAAAGACGCTCCTGGTGCTCCTGCTTTTGGGAGCAGAGATTAGTGCGTGCCCAAATTAGTGCCAGTAACACAGTGGTACCAGCAAGATCTTCAGTGACTTGGCTTTCCTTACTTGGCTGTGTTTAAAAAAAACCCAACCCCCTCCCCCCAAAAAAAACCCCACACCCCAAAACCCCAACACTGTTTACATTGTTAAAGTTTTTTAAAATTGTTTGATTGGTAAAAACCAACCTCATTTCCTGTAGCTCAATCAGGTTTTCTTGAGTCTTCCACCTGTGTGACAGGTACAGCTGGAAAAGGGGCTTGGCTGTGCCTGGTACCTCAGGAACCTGTCCTTGGTGACCATGAGGGTTCAGGAGTCTGAAGTGGAAGCCTCACCCAGGCTCTGTGCAGGGTCCTTTGCTGCGTCCTCTCCTCCTGTCCTCTCCCCACTTAGTTTCCAGGGCCAAGTTGACTACCAGGTTTCTCTCTGAAACCTCTCTCTGTATAATTTGCCCACCACAACTGAACCCTGATTAGGTAATGGGAAGTAGTTACCCTTCAGACAAAAGTAAACACAGAAACATCATCAATGGAAATTGTTTATTTAAGGATTATTCATGTAGGGTTGGAACTAGATGGTCTTTAAGACTCCTTCCAATCCCAACCATGCTATGATTCTACGATTTTTTTAATATATAGGACAGAAATAACCCAGTTCATTATACAGGGAGAATGCAAAGGTCTCCAAGGCTGCACAGGCAAAGACCAGAGCACAGCTGGCTGGGTTGGAAGGTTTGCAAGAAACACTCCTGCAGCTGACTGCCTTGTGTATCAGCAGCGATTCACAGACAGGCTCTGGGAGATGGAGGGGTAGGAAATGTCCTATCTGGACACAACTCCACGTGTGAACCGCACAGCCTGCTAAATGCAACTCTTCTTGGTTCCACGAGTCAATCCTATCTGGTATTGGTAGAGAAGGTGAGGATTGGCATTGTTGTTCCTTCCCTGCATATTTTCCTCCATATATAACTAACAACAGTCCTGGAATAACTGTAGGATTCTCTTCAAGGACTGTCTGCTGACAGAAAGGAGAGGCTGTCATGGAAGGTACAAACCACAACAAATTTACCTGTTTCTCAGCTCTGAGAAACCTGGCCCTTGGAACACCTAGGATAACCAGAGGCTGGAGAATGTTGGATTCCAGTCCTGGCCATCGGCCTCCAGCTGCTTCTGGAGATAAACAGCTGGAGATGAACCTGTGGCTGTAACTCAGTGCCACTTTTGCTGTTACGTGCAGTTTTTGTTGATTCTGTGCTGACAGTCACCATTAGCGACACACATGGAGCACCAAAAGACCCCAAAGCCGGAGCACTGCAGGACCTCCCGTGCCACAGCTACCACTACCACCACCACGAAGTTTGTTTTGCCAATCTTTGGGAGCGGGACCCAGAGTGGGCAGGAGCAGCGCGGCCGGGCCGGGAGCGGGACCCAGAGCGGGCGGGAGCAGCGCGGCCGGGCCGGGCCGGGCCGGGAGCGGGACCCAGAGCGGGCGGGAGCAGCGCGGCCGGGCCGGGCCGGGAGCGGGACCCAGAGCGGGCGGGAGCAGCGCGGCCTGGCCGGACCGGGCCGGGAGCGGGACCCAGAGTGGGCGGGAGCAGCGCGGCCGGGCCGGGAGCGGGACCCAGAGTGGGCGGGAGCAGCGCGGCCTGGCCGGACCGGGCCGGGAGCGGGACCCAGAGCGGGCGGGAGCAGCGCGGCCGGGCGGGGCCGGAAGCAGCGGGGACGCGGCACTGTCAGGTGACGCTGTCACGTGACGTAGCGCGCCGACTCTCCCCGTGACGTCACGGGGACGCGCCAGTGACGCGCGCGCAGGGCCCAGGCCGAGGCCCGGCAGGGCGGGCGGATCCCGGGAGGGGATCCCGGAGCAGCGGGAGCGGAGCGGCTCCTGGAGCGGCTCCCGGAGCGGCTCAGGGCCCGTGCTGCGCCCTGCCAGTGAAAAGGTGCAGTTCTCTGCCTACAGAAACCATTTACCTGCAGTTGTGGTGAATTATTTAATAACTTTAAACCAATATTCTAAGTCGAGACTCGCTGTGCAGTGAGGCTGTTTCTCTTTAGGGAGGACAGAGGAGACACCCAGACCACCTGGCTGCAAAATCTTGTTTGCCTTCTTTACACGCTGCAGCACTAGTTTGTATGAATGACGGAATCACAGAGTAAGCTGAGTTGGAAGGGGCCACATCGAGTCCCGCTCCTGACACTGCACAGGACCATCCCCAAGACTCACACCATGTGCCAAAGCGTATTGACCAAACACCTCTGGGACTCTGTCGGGCTTGGTGCTGTGACCACTGCTGTGGGGAGCCTGTTCCAGTGCCCAGCCACCCTCTGGGTGAAGAGCCTTTTTCTAATTTCCAACTTAACCCTCCCCTGACTCAACTTCAGGCCATTCCCTTGGATCCTGTCACTGGTGACCACAGAGAAGAGATCAGTGTCTGCACCTCGTCCCCTCATAAGGAAGTTTCAGACTGCGACAAGTCTGGACTAGAAATCAGCATGTGTCTCCTGTGACTGTTGAAGATAGAGGCTCTGCCAGTGCAGGGATGAGCTCTGGCTCTGGATATCCTTGTTCCTGTGGGGGAAGCATTAACTGACCTAGCCAAGCAGGTCTGGATTTTCTCTTAATCAGGTCATACTGGTTGTTCTGAATCCCCCTTGTCTGCACAGGGGACCCTCTAATGTGGTCAGAGGTTAAGGCCGGGTGACCTGATCCCAGGAACCAACCTTCCTGAGGTCAAGGACCCTTCCTGGGTTTTTCTCCAGAGAGAAAGGATGGCTGTCAGGGCTGAACACTGGTAAAACAAAAAGCCAGCAAACCCTCACAACAACTTCATACCCTGGTACCCAAACCATGCTGCTGTATAAATACAACAATGATTCTTCACAGATTATTCCCCACCAGCCCCGTTAATTTGAAGACAGTTTTCTTTAAAAAAGCAACTTCTGACAGTGAAACCGTGCAAGACCACACTCCTGTGCCCACTCCCAGAGTTCCATTGAGATGTCAGTTCTGCTTGTTAGAATAATGTGGGATTTCTCCACAGTTCTTTACAATAAAAAGTCACTGTGAAGAACTAGAGGAGGATGACTTGTGCGACCACTGAAGAGAATTTTAGCAATTCTGTCAGCACAGCAGGGGGTGGGAATTGGATTAGGAACCTGTGAGTTGAGTGACTGAGCCTGTGGTCACTGCAGAAAAAATCAGCTCAGTGCCAGTCAGTGCCTGGGACTCCTTGAAACTGAGCTGGCATAAAAACAGGCAGATCATGTTAAACAGCTTCAGAGCAGACAGACAAAGGGTGAAAGCAAAGCTGCGCTTAACCCAGATAATCTGATATGTACAAATGCAGAGCCTGAACAGATCAAACCCAGAGTGGCAGCTGGGATGAGTCACCAGTGTGGAGTCAAGGGGAAGATTTACCACCTTCTCCTCCATTATCAAAGAGCCCGTGGATCTGCACTGCTAAAGAAGAGAGTCTGGAATGAGTTCCTGTTCTCCAGATTACCTTGTCTCTGCTCGTGGCGCCTTTGGGGCAGGTAATGTGTCTGTTCCTTGCATCCTGTCAGTGATTACAGTGGGGCACCGGCTCCTGGTGGATGGAGCCAGGGGCCGAGTGTGGTAATCACAGAATCATGGAATTTTTTGGGTGGGAAAGGACCTCAAAGCCCATTCAATCCCACCCCCTGCCCTTGGCAGGGAGACCTTCCAGCACTCCAGGTTGCTCCAAGTCCTGTCCAACCTGGTCTAGGACACTTCCAGGGATGGGGCAGCCACAGATTCTCTGGACAACCTGTGCCAGGGCCTCACCACCCTCACAGGGGAGAACTTCCTCCCAGTATCCCATCTAAAGCTACCAGAAGCCAAGCTCCCATCAGCTCAGATTTCCGTGATTTCAGTTTTAACATCATGGAATCACAGAATCATTACGGTCACAATAGACCTGTAAGAGCATCAAGAACAACCACCAGCCCAGCAACCCCACCATGCTCACCAATAAACCTGTGCTTGAGTGTCACATCCCCATGTGTTTTAGTTCGGTGTCACTTGAGGACACAAATTTGTTCAATCCCCTCTTGATCAGTGCTGAGATCCCTTGCAGTGCTCCTGTTCAGGCTGTTGCCAAAACCGAGGGCTACAGCAGTAGCCCATGTGTGTCACACCTGTGGGCTGTGTTGGTTCCTAGGCAGAATAGTGCAGCAGAGCTCTCCTTGCTGCTGCCCACCTGCTCAAGGTGTTCACTCCCTGCTCCTGCCCACCCATTCAGGCTGTTCTCCCTGCTGCTCAGGGTGTTCACTGCCATGCTGTGATGGCTCTAAAAGCTGCAGTCCCAGCAGCTACCACAGTCTGAAATTAGGTCTCACACTCATTCCACACACTTTGTTTTAATCCAGACATCATCAATCTGGGACACGAATGTCCCTTGTTTGCAGGCTGTTGGCAGAGGGAGCCTAGTAAGACACTGGTGACAAACAGTAATTACCCAGATTACTGCACTAATCCAGTATAACAATGCAAACACACTGTAATTCATGAAAACCAAACAAACACCACTTACACATGTACATTACATTTACAGCGAAAGAAGATTCTCTAAAATAACTAATATTGTCTTGGAAATAATACAAGAAAATAAACACAACTAACATTCAGAATCGAAAAGCAGCAAAGCTTTATCACTAATTCCCGAGGGGAAGGATGCTGGCCTTTTTGTTCCATTAGGAATAGCTTTAAAATCAGCAATTCAATGTACTATTCACTCTGAAGTGCAAAAGAAATTGGGTCAGGAGAAGTCAAACCTACTCTAATAAAATGTTGGTGATGCATTTGTGTATACAGCAATAGTGAAACTGAAAGTAAATGCATCCTGTTTGATATTCTGATTTGAAAGTTAGTTTTGAAAAGCTGGAACGGAAAAGGTCCACAAATAGCATTAAGTGATGGGGAAAAGAGAAAATGAGAGGTTTAAAATGTGTTATGTTTAATAGTGAGAAGACTGAATGGTGATAATTGTATTTACGTTACTGAGAAGTACTTCAGTCAAATACAAGTTATGATACTTAATGAAGTAGATTAAATTGGTGTGAGAAAAAAGCTGAAACAATAGTGTAGGGGGTAATTCTGACCACAAACTCAGTGAAGACCAATGCACTTTCTCTAGGATTTCCCTCATGTAACAACATCTTGGAATAACCAAAGTTCACAAAGATTTTAAGTTCCTTTACAGTTCATTCCAGACTCTTAATACAAGTCATCATTATTTACAGATAAAAGGTTTGTAAAGCCACACACTGAAACCTTGTAGATAAACTAATGAAACAGTATAAACCTGACTTTCTGAGGGATTTCACCAATTCATAATTCAGTATGATACAGGGAAAAGCTCCAAACTCATATTGAAACTGGCTTTCCTTACAGGCAGGATTGGTTCAGCTCGTTCTGAATCACAGCTTCAGACCGGGGCACTGCCAATCTAAATTTATATCTGAGCTATCAGATAGATGGTGTAGCTTCCTTGTATCCAGTGGGGTTCAGCTACAGTTCATCCTTTTGGTCTGATTTGCCCCCATGTACATAGCGAGACCATCCCAAAATCTCTGGGATGAGCATGGGATGGCTGGTGCTGATGCAGCCACCTCTGCAGTGGCCACCAGTGTTCAGTCTGATAGATCCTGCCTTAAACAGCCATAGCACAACCATGACACTACCAGCAACGTCAACATTTTTGGGGCCTCAAAACAGATCCTTTGCAGTTTCCTGATGACAAAATAGGTATTATAGCAAAGATGTAAACAAAGACATTCCATTAGGGAGCAGAAGTGTTCTGTCCACAGGAAGAGAAGCCAAGCAGTTGATGAATTGTTACCTCGACTCCAGTGCCTGAAGAGGCTCCAAGAGGTCTGGACTTCAGACAAGGGCCTGGAGTGACAGGACAGAAGGGAATGGCTTTCCACTGCCAGAGGGGAGTTTAGTGGGGATGTTGGGAAGGAATCCTTCCCTGTGAGGGTGCTGAGGCCCTGGCACAGGGTGCCCAGAGAAGCTGTGGCTGTCCCATTCCTGGAAGTGTTCAAGTCCAGGTTGGATGGGGCTTAGAGCACCCTGGGATAGTGGAAACATGTCCGTGGCAGGGAGGTGAAACTGGATGAGGTGTAAGGTCCCTTCCAACCCAAACTGATCCATGCTTCAATGATCACTGAGTCCAACTGCTTCCCCAGCACTCCCAAGACCACCATTAATCCATATCCCCACATTCACACCACTGTTAAATCTCCTCAGGGATGGGGACTCCAGCACCTGGCAGCTGTGCCAGGGCTGGAGAGCCCTTTCCTGGAGCAATCTTCCAAATATCCCACCTAAACCTCTTCTGGTACAGCTTGAGGCCACGATCTCTCATGTTGTCATTCATTACCTGGGAGCAGAGCCTGGCCCCCACCTGGCTCTACCCTACTCTGTTATGGAGTTGTAGAGAGCAAGAAGGTCCCCCCTGAACGCCCTCTTCTCTGGGCTGAGCCCCCCGGCTGCTCCTGGTTCTGCAGACTCTTCCCCAGCTCTGTTCCCTTGTCTGGACACTCTCCAGCCCCTCAGTGTCCTTCTGGTGAGGAGCCCAGGCTGGAGGTAGCCCAGCAGTGCCGGCACAGAGCGCTCGCCCGTCTCTCACACTGCGAGTCCTCAGCGCTGAGCCCCCAACCCTCAGACCCCGAGCCCCCAGCCCTCAGACCCCGAGCCCCCAGCCCTCAGACCCCGAGCCCCCAGACCCCAGCCCTCAGTCCCCAGACCCCGAGCCCCCAGCCCTCAGACCCCGAGCCCCCAGACCCCAGCCCGGCCCACTCCGCCCGCCCCACCCCCGCTGAGTCAGCGCCGGCCCGGCCCTCACGGCGGCGGCGGCTGCCGGGCGGGACGAGCTGGGACATGAAAGGTGCAACAGGCGCTGCCACGCCCGGGGCTGCGGGGAATCTCGTTTAACCCTTCCCTGCCCGCGGGCCTCGGCTCCGGAGCGGGGACGGCAATGGGGGTAGACAGGAGGCTACGGCCGTCGGGCTCAGAGCCCTCCGCGGCACCTCCAGCGACACGGGCGGCACAGTCCCCGTCCCGCTGTCCCCGAGCCCTCCTGGTGCCAGTGCCCTGGAGCTGCTGCTCTTCTGTCCGCAAGAGACTCAGAGCACGAGCAATGCCCGTGGAGCCCAAATGCCCCTTCCCGGGAGCCGCAGGGCTCCGACGGCGCTGGGGCCAGCGCCCAGGGGCCGTCCCAAGGCCCGGCACCGCGCAGGGGCTGCGGCCCGGCCCTGCCCCGCTCCCAGCCCCGGTCCCGAGCTGGTCTGACAGGCTCGGGGCAGACGGGAAGGGAGAGGCCTCCGGCGGCTCAGGAATGTGCAGCCCTTATCTCTGGCTCTCAGCGCGCCTGGGGAGGGAACAGCTCTCCAGAGTTTGCCTTTCTCTCGCTCTTACTCACCCCCGCTCTGCCCTGGGTGGAGCCTCGCTCGCCTGGCTCCCAGGTGAATCAGGTTGCAGGCACGTCCAGGTGAGCAGAGAGTGACCCACCACCTGCCTCAGCTCACCTGGGAAGGTAGAGAAGGGTGGAGATCTCGTGGGTACCTGCATGGCCGCCTGAGCCAGAGAGTGACCCACTACCTACCCACCACCTGCCCGGCCTCCCTGGTAAGGTAGGAGAAGGGCACATACCTCCTGGGGTACCTGTATGGCTGCGTGAGGTGGAGGGCAAGGGCTGGGGAGGGCCTATCCTGCTCCTCCGCACAGGGCTGAGCACCCGGCATCCTGACAGGGAATTCCACAGGCGGGAATCCGTGGGCAGGAGATGGCTGCTTCTCTGCAGTGGCAGGAGCTCCCAGTCACGCCATGATGGCGAGAAGGGAGAGACACAGGAGGAGATGAGAGAGGCAAGGGGGTGAGAGAATGTCCCAGTGCAGGCAGCAGGGGTTGGAGATGGTGAGGGAAGGGACCTGGAATGTCCTAGCTGTGTCAGGGATGTCAAGGGAAGGGACCCTTCTGTCTTCAGATCAAAAGTTCTTATCAAGTACTTTACACAGTTGTGTCCCTTCCCCTTTGAGAAATCCCTAAGGAGCGGATATTCCCAAACTCAGCCCTCATTCTTTGGGAAGAGTCTTGCAGCCAATTGAGCTCCCCATAAGAGAGCCCACGCTGGCCTCCTCTTTGGACCAGGAACGCTGTAGGGATGTATGGTCAGGAGACGGGGACAGAGGGGATGTGCCGTGGGGGCCGAGGCCTGCAGTGGGCAAGGAGCTGGGGAGCAGCTCCTGAGGCCCCTGCATTCCACACACATGGATTGGGTGTGCAGCCGAGTGCTGCCACGGGCCCTGGCACAGCCGTGCACGTACAGGCAGGAGCATGGACAGATGTGCGTGGACAGGCGTGCACAGGCACACGGGCTTGCACTTGCTGAGTTTTCCATAGGTGTGAGCCTGACAGCCCTCAGGATTTGTGGGAGAGGAGAGGAGAGGAGAGGAGAGGAGAGGNCCCCGAGCCCCCAGCCCTCAGACCCCGAGCCCCCAGACCCCAGCCC